ACAGGGAGAAGAGCCCGTTTTAGGAAGATGGTGAGTTTGGTCCTGAGACTTCTGGGTTCGGACAGGTGGAATTGCCCCACAGGCCTAAGAGAATGAGGACGGAGGGGCTCGTCGGGGGTGTGAAGGTAGATTTAGAGTCTTCTTCTGGGAGGCAGTAATTGTGATCAGCGTTCGTGGTCCAGAGAGAAGACTGTAGGCCGGGGGTCCGCCAGGGGCTCCCCGGGCAGAGGCCCGGACCTGCCTCCGAATCGCAGCTGCACAGCCCATGACCTTGGGCACGTCCTGGAGCCTCCATGTGCCTCAGTCTCCTCACAGTGCCCCGGGGGCGTCCGGAGAGGTGGGTGGGGCACCAGCGTGGTGCAGGGGGCTGGGGAGGGCTGGCCGGCTGTGTGGAACCCCGCAGGGGTGGAGGGAGGCGGACGAGGGGTGCACAGCATGTGTGTTAGCTCACTGGTGACCTCAGGGCCGGCGCTCGCACAGGTGGTTCGAGGGCCCCTCGCTGCAGTGGGCCTTGCAGGCATGACCTCAGAGAAGGTGAGTCCAGGAGGAGTGAACACACGATGGGGGCCCTCAGAGCACACGGCGTGGCACCCTCCGGCTTTGCTTCTGGCCCCAGACGCCAGGCCTTGAGCACCGGGAATGGTGCTGAACGTTCTGAACCAGGAAGCCTTCTGCCGGCCTCCGAGCGTGCACGCCGCTCCTCCTGGACCCCGGGAGCCCAGGCAGCTCAGGGGAGCGGCGTCCATCCGGGTCACACGCTGGCCAGCCGTCTGGAGAACGTGGTGTGGCCCTGAGTTTTCTGGCTACTTGGTGGAAATCTGAGGTTTTCTTCATGTGCCCTTACGTTTAGTTTCTTCTCTGCAGGTGGGTGATCTGGGGCTGGGCGGTGGCTGAGGGGAGCTCCGCACGGGGCCTGAGAGCTGGGCTGTGTCCTCGTTCTGTCTGTCGGGGGAATGAGGGTGGAGGAGCATCCACGGACTGCGTGGAGGGGCGCTGCTGTGGCTCCTGCAGGGACCACGGGGGACCCGTGGCTTAGAGACTTTAATCTTCTCCCAGAATTAAAAAGGCTAGGGTGGTGTGTATTCACTGTTGAAAATTTCCTTTTTCTTAGATTTTATTTGTTTATTTGCGAGAAAGCATGAGCAGGGGGAGGGGCAGAGGGAGAAGCTGGCTCCCCGCCGAGCTGGGAGGACACAGGGCTCGACCCCAGGACCCTGAGATCATGTCCTGAGCCAAAGGCAGACGCCTCGTCGACTGAGCCACCGAGGCACCCCACTGTTGAAATTGTAAAGAAAACTTAGACAAGCAAAATTAAGAAACTAAATGTCACGTGAATTCTCTTAAAAACGAGACGCATGTTTCTTTTCTACGTGTATGCGTTTTTTTCCAAAAAAGGTATTATATACGTGATTTTGTAACTTGCTTTGTTTACTTAACAATATATCATAGTGTCTTTTGTGGTCTCTTAAAAGTTAATCTTCTATAACCTTATCTTGACTCACTTCGTAGCATTCTACTTTGCGCACGTCCTGTGATGTATTTAACCGACGTGCTGTGTATTCAGTGCTTGAGAAACGGGCAGTGTAACCAGCTGGCAAACCGTCTGATCCGTACAAATACAAACCACGATCACCGGCTGTAGACAGGGCCGCGCGCAGAACCGGCCGGGGGCTCGCGAGGTCAGGAAGGGCGTTCCTGGGGAGGTTAGCGCTGAGCGGAGGGGAGTGTTCACCCCCGTGAGGGTGCCGGTGGGCTTCCAGGTGGAGGAGGAGCAGAGCTCCTGTGTGGTGAGGTGGCGCGGGATGATCGAGAACCGGGGAGAGCCCATCTTTATTGGCCGCTTGCATTAATGGTTCGAACTGTCAGTTCATGTTCTTCGTCAGTTTCTCTGTTGGTGCTTTTGTCTTTTTCTTATTTATAAAAACGCTTCAAGTATCCGCCTTTCCACCTATGTACGAGTACTGGTTTGCAGCTTCTGTTTAATTGTTAATGAAAAATCTGCATCTTTCCTCCACGTTCCCACCAGCTGGTGTCATGCTTAGAAAGTTCTCCACCAACCCAAAGTCACTTAAATATCCACCTATATTTTCCATATTCTATTTGTGACGTTTAAACTTTGGGGCAATCTGGAAGTTCGTCTCTGTGTGTTTGGAGAAGTGCGGACATCGTTTATTTTTGTCCAAATGGTTAGGCAGTTGTACGAACATGACTTACCGAGCGGCCCATCCTTTTCCCGCTGCGTCGGAATACGCCCCCTCATGATAGACTAACGCCGTCTAGATAGTTGGGTCTGTTTCCGGGCCTTCGACTACATTGCATTGATGCCAGTGCTGCTCCCACGCTATTTTACTGCTTCTCCCGTTTAAATCTGAGAGAGCAAATCCCCGGTCATTACTCTTGTTTTTCAAAATGGTCTCAGCCAGTCCCATGAAATTATTCTTCCACATACATTTTAGAGTCATTTTGTTAATTAGTAGATTAATTTGGGGACAAGTGACATCTATTCAATACTAGTATTGTCAGAAAAACAGCAAGCCTCTCCCTGTTACTTTAAATCTCCTTTTGGGTTCTTGGGGAGAGCATTTCTTTATTTCTTTCTATTTTAAATATTTTATTTATTTATTTGAGAGGGCGCAGGAACAGGGGGAGGGTCAGAGGGAGAAGCAGACTCCCCGCGGAGCAGGGAGCCCGATGCGGGACTCGATCCCAGGACCCTGGTTTCATGACCCGAGCCAAAGGCAGACGCTTACCTGGCTGAGCCCCCCAGGGCCCTTGGGGAGAGCGTTTCTAAAGACAACATCAGCCCCGAAGGTCCTGCTTTCCTGTGGAAAATACCCCGGCCTGGAGAACATGCCTGAGCTGGAAACTGGACCAGGACACCAAGGGCCCGCGACGGTTTTCCCGACCTGTGTGCCCAGGCCCTGTGTGTGCTCCTGGCCGAGGCCCCACGGTGCCTGTGGTCCCCAGGCCAGACCCCAGCCCTGAGTGAGAAGCGGCCACAAAGGGCAAGAGGTGCTGCGTTTCTGCTCGCTCGCGTACGCCACACCCTTCTCAGTGCTTCTCGTGTCTTTCCTTGTTTACTCCTAACAGGACCAGCAAGTTAGTGATGGTGAGCGCTGTTTGACCCCGAGGGAGGAGTGACAGAATGTGGCCCAAACGGGCAGGGGTAGTGACCACTGGGCAGGAGGCAGGTGGTGTCTGTTGAAATGCTTTTATACCCAGGCCTCTCTGAACACAAAGCCCACCTCTTTCCACCAGACCACGGCCTCCTTCCCGCGAGAGCGGCCCCCTCCCTGCTCACTAGCTGGGGAGGGGAGCTGGGACCAGCCCTGCGGGTGTGGCTGCCCACGCAGTGGTTAGCAGGTGCAGACGTGGGGAAGCAGGCTGGTGTGTATTTGAAAGGAGACCCCCTGCACCCGTGCGCCTGGCGTTCTGGGGAGGGGGCTTGATGGGAGCCCCTGCTCACTGCTCAGGGTGGCCTGGGCGGGGGCTCCACCGGCGGCAGCTGCCCTGCCCGTGGGCAGCCGAGCTGGCGGATGCAGCCCCAGCTTTGCTATTTTTAAGCTGTCCGCTGTGCTCCGGTGGAGGCTGCCGGCGCCTGATGCTGAATCACTATCCAGCTTGCTAATTGCGGCAGTGCCCATGGCCTGCCAAGTATCTGGCAGGCATCTGGCTCTGCGCTTCGGGTTCCGGAGGTGGCGGGGACGGGGAGGGTGACAGACGACCCCCGAGACGGGGCGGCCAGGCAGGCCCGGTGCGGCATGGTTCCTGTAGGTACCTCTGGGTTTTATAGATTCACAACAACAACACCTCCCCAAGTCACCAGATCGTTGCCGGATGTGAAGATGAGGACTGTGCGTATCAAACACGCATATTTTAGCTGTCAAAGCTGCTTTCGTTCCTTGCCTCAGAGCAGACAGGGCCGACGCGCAAGCGATCAAAACGCCGCGTAGCGCATGGGAGTCATATGCAGGAGGTCGTGCGTGTCCCTCCGTATTTCTGAGATGGGAGATTTAAGCAATGTTCCTGCGGGGGAGTCTCTCTCGCAGCAGGCCTGCCCGCTCTGCCGGCTCGCGCTCTCCCTCCCCGAGCACCTGCAGGGCGCAGCAGGCCGCGTTCCACCTCCTGTGGGGAGGTCTTCCTGCTGGAGCCCCTGGTGGGCGCACGTCCTGGGGAAGCCCCTCAGAGGTCAAAGCAGGGCAGATGTTATGCCTTCGGGTGAGCAAGGGTTTGAAGGACTAGGCTTCCCAGCCCCTCGCTCACCTCTGGAAGGCCTTCTCTGCACCCGCGTGCGTTCCTGCCTCTTCCCCAACACAACGGTGATGTGGTTTTCAATCACGGAGCCGGCTGGCACCCCACCCGGCTCCACACCACATGGACGGGGGCTTCCTCTCCCCTGTCTGCTGAGGTGGCCCCTCGGAGGGACCCAGAAGCTTCCAGAGCCTGAACTCCTATCTGTTGCAGAGGCAGGACGGAGTTCCTAGAGCCGGGCTGTCGTGGGAAGGGGAGCGATGGACAGTGTGCGGCTCCTGGGTCTCAGACAGCGGGTGTTGGCCTCTTGTTCCTTCTTCCTCGCGGGACGCACGATGCTCTGGTGCAGACGCCCACGTCACAGGCAGATGCTGTCCCAGGACTGTGCCGTGGAGTCATCCTCAGGGACCGTGATTCCTGCAGGAGGATTGCGGGCTGTTGCTGGCATTGGGGGGCAGGTGCGCCCCAGGTGAGGGCCGTGTCAGTGGGTCTCAGGGCCTGCGGGGTTTGGCCCACACTTTCCTTGGCCCGTGGACCTGCCGCTCACAGGCTCGAGAAGCTCCTGGCATCCCAGGACGGCGGCCGTCACGGGGTGGGAGCACATGTTCCTCCAGGGCACGGCGACAGGTGCTTCTCAGACACAGCCCCTGCTCACTGCTGGCCTGCCCTCCCGCTCCTCCTCCGCAGCTGGCCCTGGACAGAACCGAGTCTCTCTCCTCACTTCCAACTCCCTCTTCGACCCACTGCAGCGTGGTTCCAGCCCCCACGCCTCCAAAATCCTCCTGGGAGGTGTTGCCTCGAGAGAACACGTGAGCACCAACCCACGGACACCGTGGAGTCATCTGTTCTCAATGCCCTTGAGCTCTTTGTGGCCCTTGACGGCTCCTTCTAGAGAGTCTCCTCCCATGGCTGCCGGGCATCACCCACCGGCTGTTCCTCCTCCTGGGCATCCGTCTGTCCGTCCGTGCCAGCCGATGCAGCCTGGACTCGACTTTCATCCAGACCTGGGGTCCTCCTTCCACTCGGAGTTCTCTCTGCACCTGCTCAGGGTATGTGCCCCCCACCTCCCCAGTCTGCCTGAACTGAAGTATATTCTTCTCTCAAAGTGCTCCTCTCCCCAAGCTCCCCGTCCCCGTGAGTGGCATGGTCGTCTGCCCAGCTCTGCAGGTCTGGGGCCTGGGCTTCCTGCGTCCAGCATGCCCTTCCCGCCCACCCTCCCCTCTGTGAATGGACTGGTCACTCCAAACATTCGCTGTTTCGGAGTCGTTTGCTGGCTCCCACGTTTTCTGAGGCATAAACCTTACCTATGGGTTTTTGGATGTTACTGTTAGCTTCTTAACATGGACGGCATGACTGTTCCCTTCCCTGGTTCCCATTCTTCCTGCCCTCAGGCAGCTGTCTCCACAGTTTTGTGAAACCATGGTCACTGTTTAGGCTTCAGGAACTTTGTAAGTGCCGTTCACTGCTGAGCCACATGTACGTGGGTAATATTTCCTTTTTTGTTTTTTTTTTTTTAACAGTTTGTGTTTCTCCAGGAGTTACCCATCATCTCGTTGGGTTTTGTTTAGTTTTCTCTTTGGCAGTATTTTCTGTGTTTCTATACTTAATTCTTCCCCCAGTCTCTAGAAGAACCCTCAGTCTCTCGATGCTCTGCTCTGTGTGGTTGAATGCAGTCGGTTGGGTGAGCGATCACACCCACTTTCCCTGGGCACGTTCCTCCTGAGCCCACCGACCCCCGCCTAGGCCTGGAAGGCTGTTCTCCAGGTTTGCTGCCATCTCTCTGACTCCCTGTGTTGGGTTCCCCATTTTCTGAGTCTGTCTTCCCATTTCTTGGATGAGCCCCGAGTTTGGTGGGGCAGATGCTCTAGGAGCTCCCTGAATCAGGGGGTTTGAGAGGTAACTATTGTGGGATTGTTGAAATGTCTTCTCTCCTCGACTCACACGTGACCAGTAGGAATCACCCCAGAGGTTCCAGCTTCTGGAACTCCTGCCAAGGAGTCTGGGGTCATTCTGGTTCTCGGTTTCAGTGTAACCTGCCCTCCTGCCACCAGAAACTTCGGGTCTTCCCTTTGTCTGCTCCCTGAGATTTCCCAGTACCGTGCGTGGCCTGGGTGTCTGTTCGGTTGTCTGTCTCTTGTCCAGTGGGGGGCTTGTGCCCCTTGCTTTCTGCTCTCATGGCTGTGACAACTCCACTCTTCATTCCCCTCTTCTTTCCGGATTTCATATCGGCAGGACGCTGGAACTCCCAGACTCACCCCGTATTGTTCTTTTCTCCTCGACTTCCCATCTTTTGGATTTTTTTGTTCCCTTTTCTGAGAGATTTCCATAACTTTTTTCCATATTTTTTCTGTCGTTTTTTTTTTTTAAGCTACCATATTTTAATTACTAGGAACTCTTCCTTTTTATCTAATCATTTTTAGAATGGCATTCTGCTCTTGTTGCTTGGATATGTTCTCTTGTTGTGTGGATGCATTATTTCCTATCTTTGGGGCTATGAACGGTTATGTTTTTCTTCTGGGGTGTGTCCTATTTCTTCATATGCTGCTTCTCAGCTTGGAGACTGCCTGACCATCCGTGATCACCGCTGAGACCCACGGGGGCTGTGTGTGCACAGGTGCAGTGGTCTAGGCTGTGGCAGGACCCAGGGACCATCGTGCAAGTGCTAGGCACCACCAGCCCCTGATGTGCTTCCTTTTGCCTTTCATGTGGACAAGAGTGTTTTCTCTATAAGGCTTCCTCCAGGAGTTCAATTTTGTCCTTTAAACCTGTAGGTGGAATTCCACAGGAGTCAAGTCCAACTCCTCTCCTCCCCCACCTCGTGGTGTCCCGTGGCACAGAGGAGAGTGGTGCCTGCCGATCCTTCGTCAGGGGCGGGACAGGGTGTGACCTTCAGACGTGGGTGCACCCTCACCCTGCCTCACCTCTCCAGACCCGAGTCAGCAGCTGCCCTCCCCCCTGAAGAGCAGGGGCCCTCCAGCGGCACACTGGCCACTGGTGCCCACCCAGGCCCCGGCCCAAGACTGCCCCTGCATCCTGGGGGCAAAGCACACATGGCTGAAAGAAGCCAGACACCAGAACGTACAACCTGCTTTAGACCCTGAAATCAGCCCATTGCTGGCTGAACAGGTTGGGGCCAGTCAGTGAGCCCCTCCGGGCTGCAGCTTCCTACTCTGTCAGAGGAACGATAAGGTGCTTACCTTCCAGGGCTGATGGGAGGGCTCAGAGATATTATACAGGAGGCACTCAGAACCCTGCCTCGCACCTGCTAAGCCGCGCACGCTGACATCCTCCGCGCTGTCACTGAGCTCCCCTCGGCTCTTCTGGGAAGACCTCCGACTTCCCTGCGCAGGGCCGAGCCTCTCCCTCTGTGCCTCTGAACGCCGTGCGCACATCCCCAGCCTCACCTACCACAGCGCTATAATTATTAAACCGTGTGTCTGTCAATCCAACCACACCAGGCATTCTAAATCTTTTTGTGCTGTGGGTCCCTCCCTGTGGTGTTGTGTTGAAGGCAATGGACCCATGAATACAGCATTTTTATGCGTAACATAATATGCAGAGAATTATAAAGGAGAGTGATCATATTGAGATACAGTTACCAAAATATTTTTAAAAACAGATCCATGATGTGGCGTGTGTGTGTCTTTATTAACACATCAAGTAATGAGATTTACCACTGGCTCTAATGATTGCCCTAATTTCAAAGGAAAGATGAGCATAGATGATATTTTGAGATACTCACAACAAGTAGAATGAAAATACCCGTGATTTCTGCTGCTGACAAAGTCGCAGGGACTTCTAGCATCACTTGGGGCGATTCCCTGCCTTCCTGAGGAAAGGGAATGCTGCTCTTCACCGGGAGATGAGCAGAAATAAAAGGTACTTCTTTCTAAGCTAAGACCTCTTGGATTCTTCAGAGAACATTATTTGGACTGGGAGCTTCTAAGAATTCACCGTCTATTTATCTTTATAACCTCAGTCTCAGGTATAGAGCTTGGAAAACAGGAAGGACTTAGCATGCTTCTTTTAAATTAATAAACTTAGGACATTTTGCCAAATAATTGATGCAAGATAGAAGCTGGGAGATGCTGTGCGGCAGGCAATTAGGTAGATAGATGGCTGGGGATGCGTGTGTGTGCACATGTGCATGTGTGTGTGTGTGCGTATATGTGTGGTCAGGAGTGCGGGGGCTGGGTGTATGCATGTGTATGTGTGTACATGTGTGGTCAGGAGTGCGGGAGCTAGGCATGTGCGTGTGCGTGTGTGTGCGTGTACATGAGCGGTCAGGAGTGTGGGCCTGGGTGTGTGCGTGTGTGTGTGTGCGCGTGTGTACATGTGTGGTCAGGAGTGTGGGGGCTGGGCATGTGCGTGTGTACATGAGCGGTCAGGAGTGCGGGCATGGGCGTGTGCGTGTGTGTGTATGTGTGTACGTATGTGGTCAGGAGTGCGGGGGCTGGGCATGTGCGTGTGTACATGTTGGTCAGGAGTGCGGGCCTGGGCGTGTGCGTGTGTGCATGTGCGTGCGCACGTGTGGGAGGCGTGCAGGGCTGCAGTGGAGGTGTGTGTCTCTCACACGATGTGAATCTCTGGTTGGGAGTCTGTCTCCTTGACTGGAGCAGGATTCCCATGGACACAGACCGTGTCTTATTTATGTTTGTGCAACAAAAATGATATTTTGAAAATGTTAAGTGGACGTATTTTCGTTCTGTCCTTTTTCATTCATCCCGTAGCCCGGCCTGTCCCCAGGGGCGAGGAGCGCAGCCCCAGGAAGGCTGAGAGAGGGAAGGGGGCCTCCAGACGAAGGTGCCACCTGCCAGCCAACAGCCAGGGGAGTGGACAGCCCTCCCCGCTGGGGAAGAGACGGGGCGCGGGGGCAGCACCAGGGCCCTGAGAAGACGCGGCTGAGGGCACTTACTCCCTGCATTCGTGCCTTGGCATCGCCAGGACACACCTGCCATGGGAAGGGAAACGCTGCAGCGGTGGGTAGCCGAGAACGGAGGGCCAGCGGTGCGCAGGGGGCGGCTGTGGAGAGGAGACGGGCTGGGGCTGGGACTGAGCATGAGGCCGAGACTCAGGACAGACCAGTGGCAGGTGGCTCTGCCAGGGGACCTCACGCCCAAGCGTTCACCAGTGGCTGACTCGGGCCCTGGACGCCAGCAGGACGCCTGGTGGCTGTGGGGCAAGGACTCTGGGAAGAGCTCAAGGCCAGCGTAGCACGCCCGCCCCCACGGGGACGGCTGGGCTTTCCTCCCCCCAGACACCACGACAACACTTGGGACGTGGGGTCGGAGCGCAGCCTCCACAGGATGGAGCAAAGAGGCGGCAGTGGGCCCTTGGCAGGGCCACATGGCACAGCAGGACTGCATGCGCTGTTCTCATCAACCGCACCCGCCCCCCCAGGTCAGCACGGCGTCAGGCGTTGGTCCTCCCTCAGTGCGGTCGAGATGGGCCTGCGAGTCCTCTGCCCTCGTTCTGCCACGGGGGAAGGAGCCAAGGCGTTTGGAAATTTGAGTGTCTGCTTACTTCGGTCGTCCCCAGCCAGGATGGGGCTGAAAGTTCGTGTTATGTGGTGTGGAGCCACGTCCCCTGTCTCCTGTCTTCCTCACCCTCCCACATGCCGAGAAAAAGAAAAAACAATAAGCAAATTCCAAAATAAGAGGATTCCCAAATAATACTGTCATTTGATTGAATGGAGCCGTAAAACAAAACTCAGGGAAGACATGACTCTAACAGAAACGTATTGAAAGTTAACGGAGGTTCTACAGAATTTTAAGGAAAACAACTCAAAATGTATACAAAGCCTCGTCGACGGTGCATTTTCCCATCAACTATACATTGAGCTCGTCCTCCGATGTCACCCAGAAGGGCAAGTGTCCTTCCTGGCTGCGCTCCCGCCACTCGGAGGGGCACAGGGGATCCAGGCCAGCGTCAGGACGCGAGGAGTGTGCCTTCTTTCTCAGCAGCCGGGCAGACACCATCCGCTCCGCCACAGGGCTCTGGTGAGGATCCTGGGCCACGCCTGCCCCAGCCAG